AAAAAAAAAAAAAAAAAAAAAAAAAAACAAGAATATACCAACAGGAAATCTACAAGGAGCTAGGGCTATCCAGTTGTAAGAATGGCTCAAATTTAAAGTACTGAGGAATACTAAGTAAGGCTAGGATGCAAAACGATTGCTGGTGGGGGTGTGAACTGGTACAGTCTCCGTGCAAAACTGGGTTTTTCCAAGTGCCTCAGTAACTCTTGCCCTAGAAATACCTAAATATATAGCTCAAAGAGCACTATGTTTTAGGTCCTGGTTGTTCTTTGCACTCACATGTGCGCATCTCTGCGGTAGCCGCCTTTGCGATGTTCCCCCTATTGCGCCCCCTGCCCCGAGCCCTGGGCACCGCGGTCGCAAGCCTCCCCATTGCCGCGCCGACCCCACCGCTCGCTCGGGCAGCTGCTGTAGCCGGCGCCCCGGCCAAGCCCCTGGCTCTTCGGGCTGCTGTGGGTGAGCGCAGGGTCGCTGCCCCGACCTGGCCTCCTGCAGCCTACCGGGCCATGCGCCTGCGGCTGCGGCTGCGACCTCGGAGCGCTGCACACCGAAGGAGACAAAGCTTTTGTTGAATTTCTTACTGATGAAATTAAAGAGGAAAAAAAATTCAGAAACATAAGTCCCTTCCCCATAGGGACATAAGATGTCTGGGGGCTGGGAGCTGGAAGTGGATGGGACAGAAGCTAAATTAGTGTGGAAAGTTGCTGGGGAAAAGATCACTGTCACTTTCAACATTAACAGTAGCATCCCACCAACTTTAGATATTGAGGAACAGTCCTCAGAGGGGCAACAGAGCGAAGAACAAGAGCCTGAACTGACATCAACTCCTAATTTTGTGGTAGAAGTTACCAAGAGTGACAGCAAGAAGGCTCTTGTACTGGACTGTCACTATTCAGAGGACGAGATTGGAGAAGAGGAGGAGGCTGAAAATGATATTTTCTCTATCAAGGAAGTTAGCGTTCAGGCCACAGGCGACTCTGAATGGAAGGATACTAATTACACGCTTAACACAGATTCCCTGGACTGGGCCTTGTATGACCACCTAAAGGATTTCCTGGCCGACCAAGGGGTGGACAACACCTTCACAGATGAGCTGGTGGAGCTCAGCACAGCCCCGGAACATCAAGAGTGCAGTACTCTTCTTGGAGACCTCAAAAGCTTTATCAAGAGCCACTAGTCAGAAACACTGAAGACCTTCATTTTTATGTGGCTGGAGAATGAAACCTGCCCTGACACCAGACGCCTGCACCTAGCAACAGTCATTATCCTAACAGCATGGGAAATACATAGCAGATTTAAATTTAAAAAACCCAAACACTATGTTTGTAGAAGCATTACTCATCATGGGAAGTAATACTATTATTATTAGCAAATTTGGCTCAGGGCATCACACTGAGCCGCATCCCAAGCCCTTCTTTTAGTCTTCATTTCTTATTTTGAGACAGTGTCTTACTAAGTTGCTAAGTTTCCCAGGCTAGGCTTTAACTTCGATCCTCCAGCCTCAGCCCCTCAGTGCTAGGATTATAGCACATGTCACCACGTGCAGCTAAAAGCATTATTCATAGTAGCCAAATATTAGAATAAACTGGATGGATAAGCTGTGGCATGTCTAGAGTCACAGTGTTGTAAAGCCCCCCAAAAATTTTAAAGTTCAGACTCCGGTCACAAGGGACCACCTACTGGTCCTTGACTATAAGGCTTAAGTAACCCTTATCTTGGAACCCACACGGAGTCATAAAGCCTCAGGCCTGGCTTAGGTAAACATTCCATCTCCAACCTGGGGGCATCCTTGTGAAATAGGACACCTTGCATAGACAATCCCACCAGTTCTCGGAATGCGGCTGAAACTGCAGAGTTAACTATTTAGTTGCCCTGTAGCCTACCCCACTTAGTTTCCTCGAAAGGTCATATATTCTCAAACCCACCAATTATTTTTAGAACCAACCCAAACTAACCAATGCCATTTGCTTCTGTAACCACGCTTGCAAAATCCCTCCTCCCTTTGTCTTTGGGGCTTAAAACCACTGCCCACGGCCAGCTCGGGGCACTCTCTGTTCCTGCGTGTTCAGACCGCCCTGTGTGCACACAGCTAATAAAATTCCCTTTGTTCTTTGCATGAGAGACCGACTCTTGGGGTCTTCCTTCGCGGCAACTCAACCCTTACAGTGTAACTGTGACTTCCCTGTGAGAAGGGGCAGCAGTGTTGACAAACAGCTGGAAGGAGGCTGGCGATGTTGGAGGTGTTCTGACCTGGTCTCTTGCTGCCCATACCCGACTGTTATGGTTTGTGTCTAGATGTCCCCCAAAGCCTCATGTAGTCACAGGGTGGGCTTCTAGAGTTTGTGATTGACTCCTGGTCCAATGCTGGGAAGATGGGTGTAAGGGCAACCCCGCCCTAGGGAAGAGGCTGGCTTCCTGCTTCCTCTGCCGCTGCCACTGCTCTTCCAACTCTTTGCTCTTGCTGTCTTTGCTGTTTTCTGCCACCATAAACTGCTGCCCTCTGCCACATGCCACTCTGTGTTGCAGACTAAAACCTCCACAAACAGTGAGCTAAACTTTTCCTTCTGTAATTTTTTTTTTTTTTTTTGGTGGAACCTGGGATTGAACTCAGGCCCTTGCACTTGCCAGGAAAGCGCTTATTCTATTGAGCCATCTCCCCAGCCCCTCCTGCTCTAATTTTGGGTGTCAGGCATTTTGTCCCAGCAATGACAGAAAAGTAACTGAGACACCGGATGATTCAAGACTGTTCACTAAAATATATTGAGTGGCATACTGAAGACGTCTGTCCTTCTGCAACTATATTAATCTCCAACTGAAAAAAAGAGGCCTCTGGAGAGGCTCAGGCGCGTGTCTGACACGCAGTGATGAGTGCGGGCCTGCAGACGCAGCTCCGTGCAGGGCGCTGGCCTGGTGGCGTCTCCCCATACGTGCATGCACGCAAGAACACACGCACTTGGAGGCTGTACAGCCCAGAAGGGAGGCTTCCTTGTACTGGAGCAGCGAGGATGCGCGGAGGGCACCCTGGGCTGCTTGCACACAGGAAAACTGAGAGTAGCTCACCGAGTTCCACCACGCTGTCGTCATTCAGAATGTTGAGAAAGGACAGGACACGGAGGCACAAAAGCCGCTGACACTGCTGGATGATCTGTTTCACCACCTGGTAAATCTTGTCCCCAGTTGGAAGGACCAGCTCTTCCAGGTTCGTGAGAGAGCCCAGCGCGTCAGCTGAGGAGACAGAGCATGTTATTCCCTGTGCTGTCATCCGGCCCTGGGCTACCACCACCCTTACCATCAGCGCCCAGCCTGGAGCCGGAGCACAGCCCGCTCTCCCTCCAGCGACCGCCCCCAGGCAGGTTTGTACCTACTTCTGAGGCTCACAGACAACGAGTAATTAACATGTTGGAATGGAGGCTACACAGTGAAGTGCACAACACTGGTAGGAGCCGACCCAGGGTGCGCAGAAGTCGCTCTGAGTACCTGCTCCCAGGAGACCAAGTCCGAGGACTAAGCGGCAATCACGGCTGAGCCGAGCCTCGCGCTCCCTCCAAGGAGCTGGGCGGCTGCAAGCCAGCCCCTGCCTGCACGGTGAGAGGGCCCAAGAGGGAAAAGGCAGCGCATCTCACTCTCTGCCACCTCTGTCTGGGCAGCTCCTGAGTGATGCAGATGTGCAGCTACTTGCATCACATTAGCCCTGCCCTGGGTGAGATAAAGGATGCCTGTAGGCCGTGCAAATGCAAATACCACACTGCTCCCACGCAGGGCCTTGGGTGCCTTCTCCTGCTGTCAGCCAAGGCTCCTGAACGCACGCCCACTCTCCTCACTGCCTCAGTCAAGGGGCAGGCAAAGGCTTTGTGGAAGCAGGGGGAATGGAATTAGGAATAAACAGAAGTACTGATTTGGAAACATACCAAATTTTTCTGCTGTCTCTGTATCAGGAAATTGTTGCTCTGACAGATTTAGTATCTTCAGAAAAGTAAAATTGGGCAAAATAGAGACTGTGAGAGAGAAAATAAACATTTAGTTATGTCAATTACATTTCTTTTTTATTATTTATTTATTTGGTACAAGATCTCACTATACAGTTCGGACTCCTAGTGATCCTCCTGACTCAGCCTCCCCAGTGCTGGGATTACAGGCGTGCACCGCTGCATCCAGTTTCGGTGGCCTGCACTGTGTAGGACTGGCCAGGCATGCGGTACAGGGATTGAACCCAGGTCTTTGCACTTGCCCAGCAGGCACTTAGACCACTCAGCTATCTCCCCAGACCCATGTCATTTACATTTCTTATGAGTATAATTTTTTTTCTTTTTTTTTTTTTTGGCAGAATGGGGGATTGAACTCAAACCCTTGCGCTTGCTAGGGAAGCGCTTATTCCACTGAGCCATCTCCCCATCCCTGAGTATAGTATCTTTTTAAATAAAGACTATTCTTTTTTTTTTTTTTTTTTTTTTTACATTATTCTTAAAGTGATCAGGGATGGGCATGGTGGCACAAACCACTAATCTCAGTACTCCTGTGACTGAGGCAGGAGGATCATTGCAAGTTTGAGACCAGCTGGGTCTACAAAGTAAGCTCAAGGCCAGCCTGAAATTGCATAATGAGACCCTGTCTCAAAAAGATAAATAGGGCAGGCCAAATAGCTCAGCAGATTAAAGCACCTGCAAACAGGTGCAGGGGCCAGAGGTTCAATCCCTGGGCCTGCCTTTGTGCCAGCCCCACCCCTAGGGCACACTGAGACTGCAATTGAGATTGGGTGTGGTGGCACACCTGTAATCCCAGCTCTTGGGATGCTGTAAGTAGGCGGATCACTATGAATCCGATCTAGTAGTGAGACCCTGAACACCCTGTTGTCCCTTCCCTAAAATCTAAATAAACAAATAAATAGTACTAAGGCCAGGTGAGGTGGTACACACCTGTAATTCCAGCACTCAGGAGGCCAAGGCAGGAGTTGAGGCTGAAACTGAGACAGGTTAGTCTCAAGTTTGAGGCCAGTCTGGGCTATACAGTGAGTTTCAGGCTAACCTGAGCTACACTGTGAAGCCCTGTCTCAAAAACAAAAACAGAAATACTGTGCTAAAGCACATTGAATTAGTTTGACTAAGTACAGAATCCAAATCTTTACTCAGAAAATAATTCTGGAAGCTAGAAATATTTAAAGTAATAGAAACAGCTGGGCATGGTGACCTACACCTGTAAATCCCAGCTCTCAAGAGGCTGAGGTGTGGGCTGGGCAGATAGCTCAGTAGAATAAGCATCTGCCTGGCAAGTGCAGGGTCCTGAGTTAATCCCCAGTATGGCAAAATAAATAAAAGGCTGAGGCAGGAGGAGCACTGTGAGTTCAATGCCACACTGAGTCAAGGCCAACCTGAACTTCATAGCAAGACCCTGTTTCCAAAAAAAGTTCTTTTTTATTGTTCTCAGTATGACTTTGTCCACAGAGACATCTTGAGTCAAAATTTTAAAGTTATATTTCTTACCAAATGGGATGGCATCAAAAAAATGTCCAGAAAATATAATTTCATTGAGTTTCTTGCAGGAAGCCAGTGTGGTCATGAGAGACTCCAAATCTGGCAAGGAATTGCAATTCAGATGGAAAATACGAAGGTCTGGGGAATTCTCAATCAATTTGACTGCAAAATAGAAAAGATTTTTCAGAAATTAGAGAAAACTGCAAAACTGATCTCATACTTTATTTTTTTAAATTTTATCTGTGTGTGTGTGTGTGTGTGTGTGTGTGTGGCCAGCTCAGCCCACCAGGGGGCGGGGCTGGCTGGCATGTGGTGCTGGGGGATTGAACCGCGGTCCCTGTGCTTTGCTAAGCTGTCTTAAGTAGGTGCTTTAGACCACTGAGCCATCTCACCAGCCCCAAAAACTACCACTTTCAACTTCAGTGTCAGCAAATGTTTTGCATGTGGATTCCACAGAACTTCCTACAGGGTGGATCTTTGACTTAGGAACTCAGTGTGTTCCCAAGGACTGGCCGTAATGCAGGTTGTCAGTGGAAGGTTGGGCTCCTCTCCACAGCCTTCAGTCTCTCTCCTGTGTACAGGCAGATCTCAGTGTCCTTAGAGACACTGGCCCAGGATTTTTCAACTAACCTCCTATTGGAAAGGATGCTATAATGTTCCTCCTAGAACGCCTTAAGGGTTAAATCTGTATCTGGAAGCACAAGAGGCCAGCATTTGGGCCCTAAGTGAAAATTCTAGCCATAATCCGAGATGTTTTGTTTGTAGGTGAAGCTGGTCATAACTCGGAGGTCCACTTCTGTCCAGTGTTCAGGGTTTCCTAAAGTGAGGCGCTGACAGCTCTGTTAAATGGGGGACTTTACGAGCAGGCAGGCAGCACAGCTGGCCTTGATGGCAGATCCAGCCTGGCCCATCAGCTTCGTGGCCACCCCCAGGGCAGCCACTCAAACAAAAGCTGACTTCTGTGTATTGTGAGCAGTGAAGGGCGGCTTCCACATGGGAGCTGACAGTTCCTTGAAAGTAGGCGTGGGGCAGAAGCCAGGATTTGGAAGTGCTTATAGCAGTTCCTACCACATAGTAAAGTTTCAGAATTTATAGCTAGCCTTCTGCCTTCTTAAGGAAAGACTGCTACTCCCACAACATCCAGTGCGGTCAGACTAAGCCTCAGACCCACACAAGTTGTAACTGTTTGGTTTTTTTGAGGGAGGGCCTTGCTCTCTAATTCAGGCGGGGCTTGAATTCACTATGCAGCCCCGGCTGGCCTCTCACTCATGGCGATCCTCTTGCCTCAGCCTCATAAGTATTAGGATTACAGCTCAGATGAAGAAGCTTTAACTGCCAAACAGTTGGAGCCAGGCGTGGCACTGCCTGCAGTCTCGGCTCTCGGGCAGCTGAGGTGGGAAAATTGCCACAAGTTCAAGGTCAGTCTTCACCTTTTCCATCTAATGCAAAAACAAGTCCAAGTGCCACCCTTACCTAGTTTGGAAGCACCACGCCCAGTTGAAATTTGTATCAGTAATTTCTCCATGTGGTGGTTTGAGAATTCCTCAGGAAGGAGAGAAAAAACATCATGTTTGCCATACAGATTCACAGACAGTTCTCTCAGGCTTGGGAACTTGTCCAGGTTAGAGAAGATTTGGTCTGCAGAGCAGCATAGTTTCTCATTACTAATCTAATAATTTCCAAGTGGAAAATCTGAAAACATCATTTTGACCCATCAGCTCCTTTCACATTGTCAGATGAAGACCACCAAACACCATAAAACTTTTTGTTGTTGTTGTTGTTTTGAGACAGGGTCTCTCTCTGTGCAGTTCAGGCTGGCCTTGAAATCACATCCATGAGTGACCCTTAAATAAGTTAATACCTAGCAAAGCACACCTTGGAGTACAACTGTTGAAAACCAAAGTTAATCAACAATTAGAAGGTGAAAAAAGTTAAATATTTACAATGATATAAGAAGCAGAAGTACCTAGGACTAAATTTAATGAGATGAGGAAAGTTGTTCCCCAAACTATCAAATATTCCTTAGAAAACTCAAACTGGGTGTGGGGATGCACACCTGTAATCCAAGCATGCAGGAGGCTGAGGCAGGGGCACTGCTGCGAGTTCAAGGCCAGGATGGACTACATGGCAAAGCTATTTGAAAAAAATAACAAGAAAAAGGGCTGAGATAAGCGCGAGACATGTCTGCCAAAGAAGCCACGCCCTTTCTTCCCTTAGGCGCGGGAACAGGAGAAGTTTTCAGCATCACCTGAAAATAGATCACTATTTACTAAGAACCAGTGATTCATGTCTGCTTGCTAAGGGGCCTTAATTAAATAGTGACATTCACGATTTGTTAATTTTATTAACTAGGAGATGCTCAGGTTCAAATAATCTGAGTTACGTGTAAACCATTCTGCTAATCTTTCTTTCATTTATACTACTAGTCCCCAAGTGAGGGAAAGTTTATTTTATAACTTTTCTATCAAAGAGGATGTCTGGGTTTGTGGCTTTCCTACCCAATTCTAGGAGTGAGAAAACAAAATGCCTCATCAGAAAAGTGCTCCCGACCACGGCCGGGCTACCTGGGACCTGGCCGGAGCCTGAGACTTCGAGGGACTCCAAGGCGGGCAGGGCGAGCAGCAGCTGCTGTTCGGCGGCGCTGAGCGGGACGCTTCCCAGGGCGCACTTAGTGACGGCGGCCTTGCAGGGCTCCAGCGCGGGCCGGATGCTCTCCAGGAAGCCAGCGCTTGCCTCCAGGTGGAGCTCGACGCGCTGGGAGGCGGAGAAGGCGGCCGCGAGCAACGCGAGCATCTCGGGCCCGGCCGCGCTGTGGCCGGTAACGTGCACCTGCAGCAGGGGGAGCTTGGGCTGCTGGGGCTGGAGCTGCCAGTAGCCGCCGCTGAGGTGAGGCAGCTGCTGGATCCTGATCTTCTGGAAACGCCTGATGTTCTTTTCCTTCTCCGCTAAATCCCGCTCCCATTCTTTGCTATTTTCAAAGGCGGAAGCATAGTCCCGATCTATTGTCGGCATCTGGGACCTGTCGAAGTGTCCTTCCAGGATTTCACTCTCTGAGAGTCCAAGTCTCGGCTCATTGCCAGTTAGCAAGAGTGTGACACTCTTCAGCACGCAGAGGCTTTCTGGGTGGTCAAAGAAATATGGTGAGCTAAGTGCCTTCAAGGTCAGGGATCTCCCTTGAAGGAATTTCGAAATCAATGGAGCACATGTAGCAACCGTATTGCTTTCATAAGCAATCGTGACGGCAAAATCCCACAATCGTTCTGACAGCAGTGCAAAGCAATGCTCTGGACTCAGCTGCCACACAGCCCTTATCAGCTGTTCATCCAGTGTCATTTCCTCTTTGAACTGTAGGCGGTCACCATTTCCGGGGGGATTTTCCAATGACTCTTTGCTGTCCACCAAATGAAGCAAATGAGATACCATGTGTGGCCCCACCTTTGTTGAAGAGTAGCTGGCAACATACTTTAAAAAATTGTCATAGCTTACAGCCATCAGGGGTGAGTTAATTTGTTTCAAATAATAAAGTCCCAAATCCTGATCTTCCTGCCTGTCTGAATCCAGCAGTTCACTCAGCCTCTTCCCAGCAAGAAATTCTTGAAATGCAGGATTTAAAAACTTATAGACTGGTCTCAGTCTCTGGGCTGTAAACCTACTCAGCAAGTACATAGTGAGATCCTCATCTTCATCAACTCCTGCTTCTGTAAGGTCGTCAACACTAAACTCAAAACAAAATGAAAGAAAACCTTTCAGGGCCAGTTCCCCACAGGACGACACAGTTCTTCTGAAAAGCTCGGTTTCAGTTTTGTGCTTTAAGAAAAGACATTCCATGTAGGCCTTGAAAATAGCCATATGGTCAAAAGACTGAAAGAGATTGAAAGGTTGAGAGAAAGCACACACTGCTGCCACAAAGAGAGGTGTTTTGTGAATCCCTTGCATGTGTGGGTTCTTCCCAAAATGCGCCATGAACCTCCGCAGCAGAAGCTGGTCCTGTGGAAAGAGCTGCCTTAATATAGAGATGGTGTTGTAAAAGGGGAACTCTCTGACCTCCAGAATTGTATGTAGGTGCCTGCGGATGTGCCTTCCCTTGTTTGTACGGACAGCAATTAATCGGCAGGTCCGTGACAAGTGGCTTCTTTGGATCAGTGTTTCCATGACTTGGGGGACTGAGCCCCTTGCCTTGTAATCATCCAGCAGGAATAAGACCTGGTGCCCTAACTGCCGGGTGATGTTCTTCAGGCCCATTTCACTCACAGCTCCTGTTGCCAGGAGTTGGTCACAGATAACGTGGGCCAGCCCTTGGTCTGGGCTGACAGAACTGAGGGACAAGTAGAAGACCAGCTGGAACCTGTTCAACAAGGGACAGCACCCCGATGCCCAGAGAAAGGCAATCTTCTTTAGGAGGACCGTCTTCCCACTGCCAGCTACACCCTCCACACTCATGACTGAGTGCAAGTTGGCTAAGACCTCAGGCAGCGTCTGGGGCTCCTGCACAGGACTGCTGACACGCTTGGCAGTGAGGGCCAGGTCACAGCCCAGCAGGCGATCAGAGGGGAGGTCCCAAGGGCTCTTAAGCAGTGACAAGCGGCGGAAATGGGCACTGATGTAAGTGGCTCTCAGCTTCTCACTCAGACTCTTTGCCTCTTGAAACCACAGGGCTTCCCCCAGGACCACCGCTGTGGAAACAAAGGAAGCACAGGTGGGGCTCAAAGCCACTTCCCTCTCAACCCCAGTCTCCTACCCATCTTGCCCCATGATGCTGCCTTCCACTATGGGTGGGTTAGGACCTTCCATGGCCATCCGTGATCTCCAGTTTGGGGTCCTCTCCCAGCTTTTTCCATAAAATCAGAAAGTAGGGAGCATGCACCCATATACTGTCCTTGACCCCAGAATCCAGGAAAAATGTGTGCATCTCAGGAATACTGAGGAATGCTGTAGTCTCTCACTTAAAAGCCTCAGCAGAGCAGCCTGCTGCATGATTTGTGTCAGACACACGGACGGTTTGGAGTCCATCTGGAGAGCTCACAGGTACCTCATGCCCAGTACTCCCCTCTCCATTCTGATGCTTCTCCTCCCCAGGAACTCTCTGAATGATTACAAAGATTTTTTTCAAATTCCTCCCCCCAAATATACTTGGGCACACATACAACCAGTTGGCCAACCCCCAAGTTCTTACCTGGTGGTAGAGAACTAACTGCTGTGGGTCCTTCAAGCTTAGTTTCACTGGTGGGTTCCTTTGAAAAATAAATTTTTTTATTAATCAGAATCCGCCTAAGAGAAGGGGGAGTCATATTATCTTTGGGAACAAGCAAACAGCTTCTAAACATAGTCCTCCCTTGAGTATTTATGCTAACTTGAGAAGAAAGGAGTGCTGGAACTAGGTCACCTGCAGGAGTGTGTGTGTTTGGTCTGACACATAGGGGGCGCATGCTAGCGTCAGCGCTGTGCAGCGGATCACAAGCACAGCATTTAGAGCGAGGCGGTCCCGAGGAAAGCCTCTGTCCTTAGCCTCCTGCAACTTACTTGTTATCGTGCATCTGGGATGTAGAAAAGTTGCATTTCCTCCTTTGAATGATAAGCTATTTATATGTCCGCAGGCTTCCTTTTTCAGTGTCATCTTTTTCCTTTTTTTTGTCAGATGGGTAATGTGCAGACACACATGGGATGAGGTTTGAGGGAGGCACATCTCACACAATGGCATAAAAACCAGTCACCACTTAGGCACCACAAAAGAGTCCCTGTCATTTTTTGTTTTTTGTTTTTTTGTTTTTTAAAATTAGGTGCTGTGTGTGCTGTGGTTAGATCTAAAGTGTTCCCCTCAGTAGGCCAGCCAGATAGCTCAGCAGACTAAAGCACCTGCTTAGGCAGACACGGGTTGGGGGTTTGATCCCCAGCCTGCTGTGCTAGCCCTGCCCCCGGGGTATGCTGAGGCAACTACTGAGACTGGGTATGGTAGTGCATGCCTGTAATCCCAGCGCTTGGGAGGCTGAAAATGGGAGGATCACTATGAATCTGATCTGTGTAGTGAGAGCCTGTAGACTCTACTAAATACATTTTTAAAATGTTTAAAAAAAGAAAAAGAAAAAAAAAAAAAGTGTTCCCGTCAGTCTCATGTTCAGAGGTGGGCCTGGATATATTCTTTTTGTTGTTTTGGGTTTTTTAAAAAATTTAATTAATTTATTTATTTTACTGAGAAACAAACAACAATGAGACAGTTTCAAAACAGGCTACAGGACAGCTATAATAATCAACACATTGCATATTGTTATCTTTGTAGTAGTTGTTCACAGTACAAGATGCAGACATGATATCCTGTCCAGGTTTTTTTATGTTTTGAGACAGGCTTTCACTCTGTAGCCCAGGCTGGCCTTGAACACACAGTGATCTTCCCGCCTCAGCTTCTGTGAGCTGGGATCACAGGTGTGTGCCACTACACCTGCCAAGCTTGCCACTCCTGCTTTGGAGCCAGCAGACCCTGCTGTGAACCCACTGTAACTGTGAGTGAAAAGGAATCTTCCTTTATTTAAGTTGTAGTTGTCGAGCACTTCATGCTGGTGATGGAAAAGTGGCTAACGCAGAATGTTTTGCTTTGACTGCCATATGGGGATGGAACTCAGGGCCTCAAACATTCTGGGTGAGGGCTGCACCACTAGAATAAACCCAAGTCTTTTTTGTTTATTTTCCTCTATGTTGAAACAGAGCCTTACTAAATTGCCCACTGTGGACTCAACTCCTGATCCTCTCACCTCAGACTCCTAAATAGCTGTGATTATGTGCCCACTACCATACCCAACTTCAAAGTCTTTTTTAAATTCACAAGTATAAAAGGTGTACCAAGTGAAGAAAATGTTGCTTTTTTTTCTTGGATGACAAACTACCCAGCACACAGCCTTAAGATAAGGTGGTGTCCCTGTATTTATCAAATGGGTAGTGGCTGAAATCCCAGAGAACTATGCAGATTTCTCAGTCCAAAGCACTCAGTCTAGTATTGATACAGGGAGAAAAACTGGTCTTGGGCAGGTGACCTCCAAACCATATAGGGAACCTCCAAATGACATAGGGAAAAATGATCTCTGGACCTGACCTGCACGAGTTCGTGTTCTCTAAAACCGAAGAATGAATTTTAGGAACAAATGGAGGTTATGAGCAGAATATATTTATTGAGGGAAAGAAAGCTCCTGTCCAAGAGAGGGACAGGAGGGGGGGCGAGCAGGTAGTCCCCCCCCCCAAGTTGTCTCTTGCAGGGACTTTTATAGAGGAAAACCATGTGGTGAGGCGGGTCTAAGGTGGTGGAGAAGACATGGGAATTCGCTTAGTTGGGCATGAGGTGGGACCAAACTATGGTCAACCAATGAGATTATAAGCACCATTGCTCAGGTAAAATTAATTAAATTCAGTATCAAATGGGAAAGCAAGTCACGTAGCAAGCAGGCACGAATACGGGACAGGGTCTCTTCCTGTTGGGGGTTGGGCTAGTGACCTCATTTGGGCTCTTTCAAGTTGGTTGATACTATTTAGGATATCAATCCCTAATGCCCATCCCTAGGGATGTAGCTGTGCTTCCTCTTTTTGTCTTGGTCTTGAGGTGTGGCCCATATGGGAGTGTCTGTCTCTTCCAAGTTGCAAAGTCATCTTGTCTTCCATCTTGTCTCCTTGAGGGCCTGGCCCTGTCTGACTGCCTATAATATTTCTGTCTTAAGTGGCCGGGGACATAGCTCAATGGAATAAGCACTTGCTTGGCAAGCACAGGGGCCTGAGTTCAACCCCCGGTTCCGCAAAAAAAAAAAAAAAAAAAAATTCTGTCTACCTTGGCTGCCTGCAACAGTATCTGGCCATTTCCTTTGGTTAAAGAAACATCTTCCCAGCCCTGAAAAAGGGCAAAGAGGAAGTTCAGCCATCACAGATGGGATACAGGTAGCCCGATGCCATTCTTTAATAGAAGTCAAGGCCCCAGTGCCGAATTCTCTGAGCACTCATTCACAAAGCTAGGAGTTGTGTCTTCCTGATACTCCGTGGTAACCCCATCTGCACCTTGCACATGAAAGGTGCTTGGTAGATAGCTGGAGTGTTTATGTGTCTGCTTATTCATATTGAGGGATTCCTGTTCAAAGCAGTTTTCAACCACCCAATCACATACCGTGAAACACAGCATACCATTATTTCAGAGAGTTCACCACATCCTTGGAGGTCTGGAATTGCTTCTGCAGAGGACTTCATATTTTGGAGAAATGGACAACTAAGCATGAAAATTAAAAAGTATAAAAATGTCTGTAAGTAAACATTTGCATTAGCTTTTATAAAAATGCTAATAGAGTTTTCATAGCAACCATTAAGTGTAAAACCAGCATTTTCAGTGACACTGATAGCGTCACATGGGATGTTCGGACATGGCTCTGAGGACTGTGTGGCTGTGAGGTGGGGCAACGCTGCCCAGGGCTGCTGGAATGAGTTCACATGTACCACTCATCCACAAAGCCAGCCATGAGGAACCACAGGAGCGAACTCCATCTATGGATCCTGGGACTAAACAGGACATCAGTGGGAAAAATGGCAAAAACCAAGTCTGGAATTTATTTATTTATTTATTTATTTATTTATTTATTTATTTATTTATCAGAACCAGGGATTGAACTCAGGCCTTTGCACTTGCCAGGCAAGTGCTTATCCTATTGAGCTATCTCCTCGGCCCTGGAATTTAATTATAGTAATGTAGCAACTTTTCTTTTTTGAGCCAAGGTCCACTATATAGCACAGGACAGCCTTGAATTCACTATGTAGGCCAGGGTAGTCTCAAACACAGAGATCCTCCTGCCTCAGCTTCCCAAGTGCTTGCATTACAGGAGTGCACCACTATGCTAGCAACTCTTAATTTAGAGAAATGTACCATGGTAATGTAAGATGTTGGTATTGGGGGAAATCAGGCAAGGTAATATACAGAAGTGCTCTATGTGTACTTTTTCTATAAATCTAAGTCATGTTCAAAATAACAAGTTTCAAGAACTCTACGAATATCAACATAGAGAATGGCTATAAACATACTCCCTGAACACTACTTCCCAGACAGCACAAAATCGGGACACAGATACCCTCTAAACTCAGGTATGCAGACTGCATGAGGAACCAGGAGCGAAATCACCAGAGCTCTCCCTGCACTGTTCCCTTAGACAGGTGGAGTATCGAGGTGAGCTGGAATGGAGATGCGGAAAAGCCAGCGGCCCATTACAAACTAGAGAGTCACAGGTGAGGCCAAAGCACAAGTATGCATCCCTTCTGTTTTCTTTGTTTTGTTGAAGAAATCTATCTTCCATATATGAATTAAAAAAAAAAAAAAAAGCCAAGTGAAAAGTCAGGCCCCGGAGAGGCGTACAGGAATAGACTTAGATACAGAAAGCAACAAGACTCCACATTTCTGTCCAAGATCAGTCCTGTGAAGACCACTCAAACAAAAGGACTGTGAAGGAAGACAGAGGAAAAATCTTTTCCTAAAACTAAAAGCCAATAGAGAGTCAGGTGTGGTGGTGCATGCCTGTAATTCCAGCAGTCTGGGTGGCCCCAGCAGGAGGAATGTGAATTCAAGCCCACCCTGGGCAAACTTGCAAGACCCTGAGTCAAAGTAAAACACAAAAAGAGCTGGGGGTGTAGGTCAGGGTGAAAGCCCTGGGTTCAATCCCAAAAAGCAATGAAGTGAGGTGCCAACAGAAGTGAACGAGAACTGTACCATAGTTGATGTTCAGGGACGCTCTTCAGGGGGAAGGAAGAGGACCTCACACAGAACCTTGACTCTTCCCGGAGGAAGGAAGAGTGCCAGGGACAGTCAGTGTGAAGCCCTCAGGAGAACCACAGGCTAAGTGCTAAGACTGGAGCAAGCAGAAGAGTGCAGAGGGGCTCCTGCAGGAGGATGAAAATGACTGGCCAGGCCTGGGGGCGCACACCTGTAATGCCAGCACTCAGGAGGCTGAGGCAGGAGCATCACTATGAGTTCAAGTCCAGCCTGGGCTATATCGTAAATCCAACGCCAGCCTGAATTGCACAGCAAGACCCTGTCTCAGGAAGACAAAACAAAACAAGCTTGATTTACATGAAAGGACATGAAACATCTGGGAGAATTTGAAGATAACTAGTGCTAAGTACAAGAAACCTAAGGACATGGGCTATACTGTAGTTGCAAAAAAAGAAAGAGGATGTAATTGTTGGTAAGGACAATTTGGAACCTTCATAATTTTCTAGTAGAAACTTGAAAAGGTGAAAAACAGTTTCACAAAAAGTTAAACTCAGAGTTACCATTATAACCAAGCAATTTCACTCCTGCATACCGAAAAGCACTGAATACAGCTACTTAGGCAGGTGCCTGTCCATGGCTGTTTGCATCAGCACTGTTCACAATAGCCAAAAGGCAGAAACAACCAAATATGCATGAGTAGATGACTGGAGAAACAAAATATAATGTATATACATGAAATATTATCTAGCCACAAGAAGATATGAAATACTCATATATGCTATGATAGGGATAAGCTTCAAAACGAAATTCTAAGTGAAAGAAGTCAGACATACAATATCCTACTGTATTCTTGCATTTATAAGAAATCTCCAGGATGGGGCAGTCCATAGACGTGAAGCAGACTGGTGTCTGAGAGAGGCTAGGTAGCACAGGCGGGTGTGGAAGGGTGAGAAGTGATTGGCTTGTTGTTCTGGAGTCATGAGAACACCCATTTGGAATTAAATGGATGGGGCAGCTGCACAACACCGTGAGTGTAAGCACCACTGGACTGTGCACTTCAAAGTGGTTAATAGGGCCAGGGAGATAGCTCAGTAGAATAAGCACTTGCCTGGCAAGCGCAAGGGCCTGAGTTCAATCCCCAGTTCTGCCAAAAATAAATAAATTAAATTAAAATAAAGTGGTTAATAAATAAGCATACTTCCTACAAAAATAAAAAAGTTGTACAGGAAGGTAAAATAAGCACCAGTTTACTATCAGCCTCAGTGTTGTAACTGCACGGCACTAGAGTAGTTACAATATTGTAAGCATGATCCAACTGCAACCCAGATGAAACTCTGATGAGAGGACAGATGAGATGGGTCCCCAGGTAAGGGGACAAAGACATAAAGACGCACTCTTCACAACGTGAAGCAGGGATGTAGGCAAGTCTTGGTCTGCAGCTAAAATGAGGATAACAGAAAAACTGTGTGTGTGCAAAACCATGGGCACTAGACAGCCACGTGCTCACCTGGGGAAGTACTTGGTGTGATCTGCTAAGGGGTCGTCCCCTTCCTGCCAGTTTTTCATGCATCCGCCACAGGAAAAGCACTGCACCTCGTCCTCCACCCCTGCACCGAAGGAGAGCTGATCAGTATTTGGGGCATGTGCCTTCATCAACTGACATGCTGGCCACCACCATCAGGCCTTGACTAGGGCAGTGGTCTGTCTAAGACTCTTGGCCCAGAATCGGGGAATCAGCATGGTCATCGAATGCACCCCTGTACTGTTTTCTGATAAACTCCCTTACCCTGCCCATCACCTGGGCAATGGAGAGATTTGTACCCACAGCCTGGAACTGATGCTCCACAGGGAATTTTTTTTCTTTAATGTATTTGTTACAGGGACTCACTAGGTAGCTCGACTCATTGTGATCCTCCTGTTTTTAGCCTCCCCAGCATTGGGATTATAGATATAGACTCAGTGGCCAGCTCAGCATGCCTGGAGGCCAGTGGGGCCTTCAGTGCCAGATATCGAACCCTGGACCTGTGCTTGCCTAAGCAGGCACTTAGTTCCACTGAGCTATCTCACCAGCCCTACACAGGGACACCTTTATTTATTTATTTATTTATTTATTTATTTATTTATTTGTATTTTAGGGACGGGTCTACAGGGTGTTCAGGGTCTCACTACTAG